GTAGATACATATTTGGGATCATCACATTATTTAATAGACAATAACTGATACACAATCATAGAAAAACCCCCCATTACTTGTACAAGTCTTATTTCCTTAAAGAATTTTTATATTAATACCTTCCACCATAGTAGCACCTACATGATATTATTCACACTCAGGCCTCCATCTAAGAAATAGTGGATGCCTATCTAGGTAATGCCAATAATATCGATATATGTGTCTAACTTCATCACATACCTAATAATGAATATCATAGCTACAACCATATCCTCGCCCTTGTGTGTTAATATTGGCAATCTAGGGAATATCAGTGTGATATATATATATATATATATATATATATATATATATATATATATATATATATATATATATCACACACTTATTAATGAATATCATAACCATAACCACTTGCTCTTGTTCTTTAATACGGGTAATAACCCATTAGAACAAAATTATCTTTTATATGAAATGAAAAGTATTATTCAAACCCAAAGATGCTTAACCTTGAATATCCCAAAACCTTTAACTGATTGGAAAAAGGGGTGCACTCTTGTTCATAGGCCTTTTTTTTTATATTTAAACATTATGGATTCTTTTTCGAGTCATTAGCTTTGGCTATTTAGGATCTATTACACTTTCTTGTAATTTCACGCTCTCGTGAATGGAAGCTGCGAGCTATAGCTTTCCCTAAAAGCCCTACTCTTTTAACACCCAGCTAGAGGCAAACTAAACCTATTAATATCAATCACAATATATAGTGTGATCTAGGTAATCAACAAAGTCAAATTTAAAACCCTTCTAATACCAAATATAAACTCTTTAATTTGGATTTCTCGGGAAGTCATCTAACCTAGTATTATTTGAACCCAAAGATGATTAACCATAAAAATTTTAATTTCCTTAACTAATTGAAAAAGGGGTGTAGTTTTATTCATGGGCCCTTTCTCTTTATATTTAAATCATAGATCATTTTTTGAGTTATTCTTTATAGTTACTTATAGAGAGGTGATATTTTATAGCATTGTACTAGTTGAAGAGCGTCATCAAAGGTGGTTGGGGCAAGTGCATTTAGTCCCACAAGATGTTGATAAAGCGTTAACCACAATATTCCTAATTTAATCCGCTCTAATATATTTTGCTCCACACAAAGAAATAGGCTTTAAAAGTGAACATCAAATTGCATAATTAACTCAGACAACCCTTAATAGAGATAATGGAATTGCTAGAATATATTATCACAATTGTCAACATGTTTAAATGCGCATTTAAGATGTTTAGAAGAAAGTTGTAATCCATACTAGTAGTTACACTTAAACCATTATACCATTGAAATGATATCCTTTTAAGATATATGGGAAACTTGTGTAGACACTAGGCAATATCCCAAGAATGATAGGTGGCAATCACTATAAAGTGATTAAACCAATACTATATATCATCCCTAAGATTCATATAAAAGAATTTTAGCCAGACACAAAGTTTGCTTGCAAGAGCAAGAGGAGTTATATACACATGTTGTGAATGCCACCATCAACTAAGTTTGATTGTTCAACTACAACCATATAGCATTGAGCAATTATACTACTTATTACTCCAAAGTCAAAAGAAGAAGAAGCTATTGCTCTATTATGAAGATGAATGAAAAGAAGAAAAGTAAATGAGAAGAAATGGAAAAAATTAGAAGAATAAAAGAGATCTAGATGATAAATTAAATCTAAATTAAAAGCACAAATCAAAGCACTCCTTGAGGGAGAATCAAAATTTTCAATGCATAGAATACAGAAATACATATATTTGATTAATCCAAAAACCTTAGCTTATATGCAAGAGTGGATTGAAACCAATATAATGGCTACCAAAATCCTACTATACTAATAATAATATGTGGCATTATAGTCGTACAATTGGACCTCACAAAATAAATTATATTTTTCAAAATAATTATAGCTATTAAATTTAAAATTAAATCTGGATCATACAGATATCAACATTAATAAGAATATATACTAGATACTACAAATAATAGATTAAACGTTTTAATTATGTTACTAAAATAATAATTTACTGTGCATTGTCCATTAGGCTTTGTAAGTGTATTTAATTTGTATTTGACACTATTTGGAGAACCAAAATCCATGGCAAATTAAAAATTCAGTATACTCGAGTTTTATATGGTAGATGCACGTGATCGTTTGTAGAATGACCACGACTTACTGTTAAAGAAGGACTAGTCTCACTTGGGAGGCTTGACTTTTCTGATTGCAGAAAAGTCACAAATCACAGCGGTTATAAAATCTGTTACTTTCTGTGCTTGGATTGGAAATGGCGATGAAATCAACAAGTGTCATTGCAATTGCTGTGGTGCTGCTGGTTCTCTTGGGTATAATCTCCGCTTGAGTGAAGATTCTTTCTAATTCTTGTTCATGTATCAGGGGGTGCGATGCAAGCTGAAGCTGCTGGACAGCGGGCGCTCCTCCAGCGAGGTGAGCGATCAATCTTACATGATCTAGTATTAGATCTTATTCCATTTTTATATAACGTTGGCTTTTCCAGTTTGCCCAGCTGTGTGCCAGTACACTCGAGTGGTTTGCGGAGGCGTTCTGAATAGGAATGCATGCTTTAACTCTTGCAATCTCCCGCGAGGATGCCGACCAGTGTGATCTGATCCACAGTCCCACGTTATCCCATCAATAAAGAGCTATCTTGTTTGTTATGGTACCAGTTTAGGGTTCTAGCGGAGTTCAGGACCAGGAAGTGAAAGCTCTCGTTTCCTGCCATGGTGAGTCCATTCTTAAATCTTTCCTGAGTGGAGTGAATCATGCCAGGCTATGGAGTCGAGTGTAGCATCTTCACCAGGATAGGAGAGTCGTCGGCATTCCGGAGCTGGAGCTGGGAAGTGCCAGCGTTTGAGCCCAGGAGTTCTTCCGCGGCGAATAGCACCTTGTGGAGTGACGTGGATGGAAACAATTTGCAAACTCCATCTTCTTGGCGCTTAAAGGAAGAGGAGGAAATTCGGAAATGCTCCATTCCTCCATCACCATGCCCGGCGGTACCGTCCTGGCGTGCTATTTCGTGAGCCATGGTAGACCCTTTTGCAAGGCTTCTCGACTGTACCGCGCGGTGAGAAGATGAACGCTCACACATTTCCATCCCAAAGGACGGGAGAGCCGCCGCGAATGACCGCCGCCAAAGCCATTGAGCTGCGTCTTGGAAACTAAGTGGCTGGAGGACTTTGTGAAAAGGTATACCAGGTTTGACACCGGGGGAAAGAGCGGCACACCGGACGACTTGGTGGCGGACTTGAGCACCGCACTGGAGATGACGACGGCTTTGAGGCGAAGATCGATGGAGCAAACATGGCCTTTAGCTTGGGTTACGACGGCAGGATCCTCGCACAGAACCGCTCTCACTTCATATCCTCGAGTATGAAGTTTTGGACCGGTGGATTACTGAGCAAAACGAAAGGCTGTTTCGCTTGCTGGGGGACGAGCCGGGAAAGATGATACTCTATGGCGAGTGGATGGTGGCCATTCACTCGATCCATTACTAGGATACCGGACTACTTCATCGCATTTGACATCCTGGACGTTGAAAAGGAGAGATTTTACAGCCGGGAGAGGTTTAACGCTGGGATCAAGCTGAGGAGGAGTCGATAGAAAAAGTTCCCGGGATCTTCATGGTTGATGGGATGCTGGTCAAGAGCAAGGCCAAGTGGATGAAGCTTCTGATGTCTTGCAACTCGGCGGACAGGGATGGAGCCGTGGAGGGGATTTACGTCAGGATTGACGAGAGGGATTGGTGGTGAGGCCGGATTTTGTTCCAAGGAATGAGCAGTGGTCCAAATTTAAGATCACGAAGAACATACGTCAACGTTAATCCCGTGAGGTATTCGTTTGATCTTACTACACAAAGAGATGGTAAACTCTCGAAACGTTCGATTACAGCAGCGCTGAGAGGCGTTGCGCGATACAAGCTTTCGAAGCTGGAGACACCGGGTTCTTCCCGATCATGGTGCTCAGGAGAGCGTTTGCAAACTTCACGTTTCCTATTGAAGACGAGATTTTTAAGTTGGATGGCTCGTCTGGGTCCGTAAAGCCGACTCCAAGGCCGGAGGAGGAAGACACGTAAAACGGCCCCATTCCTGGCTTGAGGGCCTGGTCCTCGAAAAGTTTGGAGAACTCTTCAATTGCTTTCTCCTCGTCCTCGCCAAGAGAATTCGACTCGGCCAGCACTTGCTTTGTGTTCTCCATGACTTTCTTTGAGAACTCGGTGCCAGGAAGAGGCTTGAGCATCGTCACGCTAAAGATTTTCTCGGATGGAGCTAGCGTAAGAAAGAGTATATCAAAACCTTGGATTGGATTGCAACAGTGTCATACATACCATTGATGATATCCGTGAAGAAATCGTCCTCCTTCTCCAGCTCCGAGCCAGATTTCCCCGACCATTTCCCGGACAGATGTTTCAAGATGCCGTCCTCGAAGTAAAATCCCAAAACTGTGACAGTGATGGTCACTTGGGGATTTATCTGTATGCTCCGGACACCTGAAAGACACCGGCATTACAATCAATAGCTCTGGACAAGAAACATGGCAGGAATTTACCAGCTCCAGCGAGGAAGAGGCTTTTCTGTGAAACCGGAGATGTCAAACCTGGAGGAAACTGAGTCCCTTCAATTACAAGACCTTTCACACAATCCTCAGTCACCACATTGCTCCATTTGAGATATTGCTTCCTAATTTTACCTTGTTTGAGGAGCTCCGGAGCCATAGCTGGTGTAGCGAGAGGTCACAGAATCTGAAAGTCCACCTGTTGGACTTATAACTTAGATATTCTCAGCTACCTGTCGTCCTTCCCGTCCACAGATTAATCAAGAGCAAGCTAAATTAGTACTCAGCCTCCCAATATTTCATACTTCCGGAAAAACCGTCAGTGCCAAGTCAACCAAAATCAATCAGATTTCGTCTAGGTATATTCCGTGATAATGGACAACATATTCCGTGATAGTGGACAACTGACAGGAACCACGCAAAAACAATGAAAATTGTTGAATAAAAACTTGAGAAAACGACGAAACAACTGAGAAGGTTGAGTCTTGATTTCAAGGGTCGACCTCCAAAAAAAAAACAAAATGTACAGAAGGACAAATCCGTGCGACCTGGTGTTTGGAATCTTTTCCCGTGGGTCCAAGTCTACAAAGTAGGATACGTGTATGTACAGTATGAAGACTGTTCTACATACATGTCCGTCAAGGTGCACTTGCGGGTACTCTCTCCGTACCTTCGCATGCAAGAATTTTTCCGATTTCAAGCACAAACTCTTGCAATTGGGCAATTTTCTTTTCATTTTGTTCTTAGGTGGTAGTTCAGTGGTCTCCACGATGACGGTCATAATTTACAGCAAAGCTTCAGGCCATTTGGGGGAAAGAGTGTTGTGTGGGCCTCTCGTGGAGTGTGGGGTAGAACAAATTTCTTCACAAACTTTACACAAAGGCCAGAGCGCAAGCGCTTTAGGTACATTTTACACCACCATTCCATCTGCCAGCCACGCGCAGACCTGTTTCTAGAAACGAGGAGACGTTGGCTGGCGCTTGCGCTCGAGTGTTAGCGAAGGTGGCGGTAAAGCAAAACAAAAGAAAGGGAGAGAAAGAGTGGGGCATGTAGATATGTCTGCTGCCTAGTCAAATTCCCCCAAAAAAGGGGTAATTTCTCTAGAGCGCTCTCCAAATCCTCACAAAGATTTGTCTAATCTCTCGTTTCTCATGATCTCTTAGTGTGTGTGATATAAGGAAGGTCATCTTCTAGCTCTTGTCTTGCGTTCTTATACAGAGGCCCCATTTTCGATCTTGCAAATCTCTCTTGGCGCGCTTTCTTCGTCACACACGAGGCGGACGCTGAGCCAAAGATCTGTCATTTATCTCCAGGAATTCGCCACAAATCCCACATATCTCCGCAAATAAAAAGAGGGGAGAGCATTTCCCGTTCCAGAGAAAGTATGATCCACAGCAGCAGCAACAACATCCACAACCTGGTGGTGAGCAAGGCCAAGAAGATGGGATCCCAGCACGAGCAGCACCAGCACCATCTGGGCTTCCACTTCAATCTCATGGGCTGCTCCACTTCCAACGTCGTGGAGCGCAAAGCCGTGTATTGCAAGCTAGATCCTCCGAGAAGAAGCGTCAGCTCCGGCGGCAGCAGCAGCGCCCGGATCTCCAGCGACGTCCCGAAGGGCTGCTTGGCGGTGTACGTGGGCGAGGAGAGGCAGCGCTACATCATCCGAGCGCATCTCCTGAATCATCCCGTGTTCCGCCCGCTGCTCGAGGAATCCGCGTCCGAGTTTGGGTTCAAGCACAGCGGCGGCCTCAAATTCGCTTGCGACACCCGCCAGTTCGAGCAGATGCTGCTGCTCGTCAAGAACAAGGACAGCGATCTCAAGGATTTGGGGAGAAAATCCTTCTGATCAAATCCACAGAGTCCGCGGGGAGGAAAGAACAATCCGTTTGATTGGCAAGGTGGAACAGCACAAACACAGGGCTTTCTAGATTTTTTTTTTGATTTCTTGAGTGGGGAATGATCGATCTACTTCTCAAAGAGTGGCGGATCTCGATCGTGGCAGACCACATTCTTCTTTGTACAGAACCGAAGATACTTTAGGGTTTTGCTAGTCAAATCACAAGCATATTCCACGAATGTTCATACTCCAATAGAATATTCAACAGATGCTTTGTTACAAGCATATTCCAGGAATGTGGATTTGCGGGAGGAATATTCTCCCTTCTCCTTGCCAAGAACAAATGGGCCGAAATGACTTTCCAGGGGGCGATGATCATGCCCACGCGTAGAAATCCACAAGCTCCTCCGCCGAGTCCCTGATCTCCACGGCGTCGTCGCTGCTGAGAATCCACAGCAAATGCTCAAACAGCACGACCTCGCAGGGAATGCACATCTCTTGCTCGAGCGCGGCGGCGCTGGAGGAGAAATCCGGGGGATTCCCCGGCGACGAGCCGCGATCCAGGGCCTCGCGCGCGGATTTCCTGGCGAGGAGGGACTTGAAGAGGGGATGATTCACGTATTCGTCGCCAAGAACATACCTCCGCCTCTCCCTCCCAACGTACACTGTGAGCGCTCCTCCCTCGGGCAGCAGCGCCGCCGCGTCGCCCTCGCCGCCTCCTTTCCTCCATTCTGACTCCATCGCCGGCGCGCTCGAGAAACTCCCCGCGCATGAAAACTTCTGCCATCGCCTCACCATTTGCTTCACTCTGTCCATGGAATGTCAAGAGACCAAGAACGAAATCGAGTCGATCGACGGAAATCGCCAAGAAAGAGAGATTGATTCCGGCGAAGAGAGTGATCGATTCAGAGAAGAAAATCGCGAGCGAAATCTCCCTCCTCCAATCTATCGCAGCTTCTCACACCGCGGCCTGGGAAGAGAGAAATGCGCTGTCCGCGGCATTAAGCCCTAGAGCTTCCAGCAAGAAAGTTTCTATATCGGACTTACTCTGGTTTTTTATGTGCTAGTGGCAGTCAAAGACAAAATCTCACCGCCTGTTAAAGGTAACACGCCCCCGCCACCTGGAAACGGCCATCGCGACAGCAAATGGGCATCGCCCGCGTGTCCACCCTGCCAGCGTGGCACTTGCCGCGGTCGTTTTAAATTCGCCAACGTCAAAACCCATTGGAATGGAAACCATATCGTTCCGCTTTTAATTAACGTGCATGCCATTTAGCATAGTTAATTGCTCCCCCGGCCCCGGGGTGATGCAAAAGTTGACGCCAGCCACGTACGGGCGAGCCCTCAAGCGATTAAATCTGGAAATAATTCCAACACTGCCATGTGCCTAACCACAATAGATTAAACCAATGATTGGAACCATGCACCGGCTTTTCGCTCCTCCGGCTTGCTGTCCCTCTCGCTCGAGAGACATTCCCTTTGTCGTGGAGTTCCTCGATCGATCGATCGATCGAACGAGAGCGAGAGCAAAAGCGGTCGAGCTCATTAAAGAAACGACGAAAAGGATTTGATTACATTAGGACAAACAAAGTAGCTTACAGAGAACTTTGCGGAACTAAAGATACCATCACTTGATCTATGCAAAAGGGGAAACGGAGAAGAAAGAAAGAAGAAAAAGAGTTAGCACTGGAAAGCCTCCCTGCTCTTGCCGCTAGAACTTTGCCTGTGAAAAGTTCTTGGCAGGATACCATCCATCCCAGGAAAAATAATCGAGAAACAAGTGAAAGAAAAACGAGCCTGGCTTGTAGCTGTGTTGTCCATCTCAGCGATCCGGAGTGTTCCCTTCTGGCGCTCTCTTCCCGTTAGTTCCCGTCCTCCTCGGAAGCTTTCAAGTAAGATGGCTCGGTATCTTCTCCTCCTTGAACTCCGGAAGCACCGCCATCTCCGCCGCCGCCACCTCCGCCGCCACCGCCGCCACCGCCGCCCATCTCCCGGTTCCCGGGAGCGCCGCTCCTCATGTCCTGTCCGAGCCCGATGCTCGTCTGGAGGCCATCCCCACCACCTCCAGCGCTGGCATTTGCTCTCCCAAAGTCCGCAAAGCTCCCGGCACCCGCCGGGCCATTGCCGCCAACGCCACCCTCTCCGAGCATGTGTAGTCCGTTGTGAGCTCCTGAAACCATCCCTGCGTGGACGGCCATGGCTTGCTGCTGTGCAGCCGCGGCGGCGGCGGCAGCAGCGGCGGGATGCATCGGGCCTTGCGCTTGCATGTACTGCATTGGATTTCGCTGCCCGAGCATCGACTGCTGCATCATGTGTTGCTGCTGCTGCTGCTGCTGCTGCTGCTGCATGTAGTGCTGCCCCGGTTGCATCATACTCCCGGGAGGAACCTAAAAAAAAAAGAGATTTTTTCTTAAGCATCCACACTAAACTATCTCTTCTTCTCGCAGGTTAAGAGTTTACGTCAAAGGTACCTGAGCAGCTGTAAGAGGTGGTTGTGGCTGAGCGTCAGCTATGGCAGCGAGGTACATGAGATTTTGCTGGAGTTTCAGCTGGTACCTGAAAGAGAAAGCAGGGAAGAATTAAGTTCCACCTTCCATGAATTCGGTGTTCATCCAGCGAAAGAAGGCAGAAGCTTAAAGAAATGAAGAAGAGATTCGAATAGAAACCAGCCGGAGAGAGAGGGGGAGATCGAAGATTTTCGAGTCAGTGGCATACTGCGCGCATTCATTAAGCTTGCCGAGGTTCTGGTTGTCAAGGATTGCAAGTATGAGCTGCTTGTTCTCGTCCAAGTACTGCAGCACCAAATCCAAAAGAGAAAAGAGCAAAAAAAAGTGAGCTTTGGCCTTACAAAACTGTGAGAGATCACTTTATGCTCCTCTCCTAAAACCCAAAAAGGAATGAAACGTTCTCTTGCACAGGAAAACGACATTCCATCCGAAAAACTATAGATGCTACTGGACAGACAACCTAAAGCCGCCCACGCACACCCCAAAAAAAAAGGAAGAAAACACCACTCACTCACGCACCTTCTGTATGAGCTCTGTGGTGATCGCGGTTGTCCCGGGATAGGCCGCCATTGCCTAGCGCGCGCGAGAAAACCCTAGCTCCTGGAAGCCAAGAAACAAGGGGGATGAGAAATGCGGGCTCTCTCACAGCAAATCCTCCATGACCAGTTTTTCAGGATAATGAAGCCATTCTCGCTGAAACTGCGGGGCACGAGATTTGAGACGGCGACCCCCCTGTTCTTGGGCCACATGGCCAGAACTCTCAGCGTACGATACGCAAATACGTCTTGTACGGAACGTAGCTAAACGTTTCATTTTTGAAACCAGGGCAGGGGGTGTCGAATGAGGCGAAGCGTGGAGCTGGACGATAGCACCCTGGTGGAGATCTTGAGCAAGGTGGGCGATGCGCGGCAGCTCGCGGAGTGCTCGCTGGTGTGCAAGCGATGGCGGGAGCTGAGCTCGGCGGTTTCTCGCCTCCACTTCGACTTTGAGGTAAGTAGCATGGAGGAGGTGAGGGACGCCGAGGATACCATCTCCAGCGTCCTCCACCGCGCCAAGTACAAGGCTCCCGGCTGCCTCAAGGAGCTCAGCGTCGTGCTCCAGTGTGGCTATGGCGACGACCAGATGGAAGTTAGCGGTCACTGGCTTGCCTGGGCTGCTGGCTCCGTCACAAGGCTCGCCCTCCAACTGGAAGGGCTCGAGTGGGGACCGGCGGTCTGGAGCTTGATCGCGTGCTCCACCGCGATCCAGATGATCCACATAAGTGGGACGATGGGCATTAGCACCAAGAGCTTGGTGTCGTGCTCTCTCCAGGCCCTAGAAGTTTGCAAGCTTGTCAGCCCCGTCCCTCACGCGCTGCTCCCGATGCTGCTAGCATCGTGCCCAAGGCTGGAGGTTTTGAGCGCTGTCATTGTTGGCGGGCAATCCCTTACAGTCTCGAGTGGAAACCTCAAAGCTCTGAGTGTGCTCGGGCAATGCGATGAGGACCTTGAGGCGTTTGAGCTTACAATCGACGCCCCACAGCTGGAAGCTCTGCTGGTGGGAGTACACAGCCCAGGAACTCTAGTGAGCATCCGGTTGCACTCCGAGGATTTGAAGGTGGCCAGCTTTTACGGCTGTTGTGTTCTTGACAAGCGATGCGAGAAGGTACGTTGCTTGACGCTATTTGGAGCCTGGGAGATGGATACGATTGCCGAGATGTCTTGGTTCATGCCTCTGGTCTCCAAGCTCTCCCTTTTTTATTTTAAAAGCCACCACAATATCACCATCGACAGGCTCTTATCTTCGTTTGGTAGTGTGGACACTTTACATTGCGACTGTCATTCTCTTCAGGTGGATCTTGATCATTTGTCTTTGTTTTTCTTTTTTCTTACTGATCTGCGTTGCAATCATTTGTGTCTGGGGGTGTCTCCGATCTTCTCAACAATCTGACTGTTCATGTGGAGGAGTCTGCACTGCGCAACGCGTTGGTTCTCAAGGATTTACTTGGAGTCAAAGGGATTGGTATTCACTACAAAGATGTGGCCAACTTGAAGCTGGTGCTAGGGAGACTAAGTTACGAATCCTTGCGGGTGCTGTCCGACTTGCGTTCGTTGTCTCCTTGTCGCATTTCTTTCACGCATGAGAAGTTGCATCCATGGTTATCGATCCATCTCTAGCCGTCAGCAAGGAAAAAATCTAGAAAATTTGACGAATTTTCTTGCTTAATTTCAACGGTGATAATACACTCACACAAATGCTGGTAGCATCATGCCCGAGGCTGGACGTTTTGAGGGCTAGAATTACTTCGTCTCGAATGGCAGCCTCAGAACTCTCAACTTGTTTGGGCAATATGCCCTGCGGCTGAAAGTTCTTCTGTTATGACTCGAGCGAGCATCCGGTTGCGCTCCGAGGATTTGAGGGCGGCCATGCTGGTTAGCTCTTGTGTTTTTGACAAGCCATACGAGAAGCTGCGTAACTTGACGCTAACTGGATTATGGGAGATGGATTCCATCGTCAAACTCTCTCGGTTCACGCCTGTGGTCTCGACGCTCTCCCTCCAGTTCTTCGCCAGCAAACCCAAGATGACCATGGACAATATCTAGCGTGGAGATGATACATGCCCTTTTGAGGTGGATTTCGATATTTCTTCCTTCTTTCTCTTCTGCAGTGGTTTGTGTCTACAGGCGCAAGGATCTCACTGTTCATCTCGAGTGACCCTATGATGGTTCTCAGGGAATTACTTGGAGTTCATGAAGTCGAGAAGCTCGTGATTCACTGCCGGGGTGTGGCGAACTGGGAACTGCTGACACTGAAACCAAGATATGAGTACTTGCGGGAGTTGTTTGACTTGAGATCCATGACTGTAGTTCCTCGCGCGTGAAAGAAACGAGACCAGACCTGATTGTTTATTTCTTGCGCTCGGATGGTTAGACCCGACAAGTGTGAGATCTACCAGAGGAGAGATCCACCTACAAGACAACATCCTGGAGAATATCAAGGTTGCCGGTGAGTGACGACCTACCAATCGTTGGTGCGGTGGACTTTTACAACGCTCCACGGGACACTGTTGCGGCGCTATTGTCAACCTCGAGTGGATCATCATGGAACTTTTCAACCAGGAAGGGATTAGTTAAGAAAAAGTCTTGGACGGAACCCGCAAAGCTCACGTATCCTAGGAGAAACCTTCCACTGCCATATATATGGCGACTCCTTCGCGAGCTATGAAGGAATCCAGACGTTTTCGATCCAACCATGTTTCAGGAAGAGGTCAGTAGCAATGTGACTCGAGATCTCTGCCATTTGGGTGGAACGAAGAAGCCGCTCAGGAATTGTCATCGAAGTTTGTGGGCGGGCACTCCACAGGTGGTGATGGAGCCGTGGAGAAAACTTAAACTATTAAGAGACTAAGTTTTGTGCGTCTCTCTTACGAGAGCTATACCTATCATAGCTCGAAGGCATCTTTCACAAAGAAAATCAAATGCGGCCATCGTGGCTACCATTGACCTGGATCACGATCCAAAAAACTACAATACATGGGACACATCCGTACAAATCCCAAGAATATTCGCAAAGATCCCGGCCAGCTTACCTACCTCTTTGTGGCGGGAGCCGCTACACGTGCTCTACTAGTCAAGCGCCTGTCCATCACTCAAACCGGCATCTGGCAGATCCGACGGCTAGGCGCTGGACGCGTGGATCGCAGCCATGGTTTGCTGACAGAGATTGGACGGTGATAACACCTTTGGGAGTATATAGGGCAAAGCGGTCTCTAAATATTTCCTTAGCCTCCCTTTGAGGTGTAGGAACTCCCACGCCAAGAGCGCTGTGAGATCTAGCTCCGGTAAGCTGCCAGATCTGCGCAATCCTGCCATCTTGCTTAATCCAGTCTCTCTGCTGCCGCAGGGGAAAGCTCGTCGCGATGGATCGGGGCAGTGCGACATTGCTAGCCGTGGCAGCGATGATCAATGTAGCATCCGCGGCGGAGGAGGCCGCGCTGGCGGCGGCGGCATCGTCTCCTCTCCGCCTCGAGACGGTGCTGTTTGGCCTCCTGGTGCTCGTTCTTGGGGCGATTCTCGCCTCCAAGGCGCTGGGACCGAAGCTCAAGCTCCCGCCGGGCCCTCCGGCGGTGCCGATATTCGGGAACTGGCTCCAGGTAGGGGACGATCTCAATCACCGCAACCTGGCCGAGCTCGCCAAGAAGTATGGCGAGATCTTCCTGCTCAAGATGGGGCAGAGGAATCTCGTCGTGGTGTCCTCGCCCGAGCTCGCCAAGGAGGTGCTCCACACGCAGGGCGTGGAGTTTGGATCGCGCACGAGAAACGTGGTGTTTGATATCTTCACCGGAAAGGGGCAGGACATGGTCTTCACGGTCTACGGCGAGCACTGGCGGCGGATGAGGAGGATCATGACCGTCCCGTTCTTCACCAACAAAGTGGTACAGCAGTCGAGGCCCGTGTGGGAGCAGGAGATCGAGTTCGTGCTCAAGGATCTTCTCGCCAACAAGGAGGCGCAGGAGGGCGGGACTGTGATCCGGAGGAGGCTCCAGCTGCTCATGTACAACGTCATGTACAAGATGATGTTTGATCGGCGCTTCGAGAGCGAGGATGATCCGCTCTTCCTGAAGCTCCGGCAGCTCAATGGCGAGAGGAGCCGGCTTGCGCAGAGCTTCGAGTACAACTACGGCGACTTCATCCCCATCCTGCGCCCGTTTCTCAAGCGCTACCTGCAGATGTGCAAGGACGTGAAGGAGAACCGGCTGGGGCTCTTCAAGAAATACTTCCTGGACGAGCGCAAGTAAGCTCTTCACGTAGTTTTGGAGCTTTCCCTTTTTGTTTGTTTTGACTTTCTGGTAGCCATATCTAATCTCAACCTTGTGTGCTCGCAGGCAATTGCTGAATGCTGGAAAGACCGGACCCGACAAGGTTGCCATCGATCACATTTTGGAGGCTCAAAAGCAGGGAGAGATCACCGAAGCCAACGTCCTGTACATAGTGGAAAACATAAACGTTGCTGGTGAGTGACGACCTACCTATCGTCGTTTACTGCTTTACCAGATGGACCACTTTCCTAACGTTTCGGCGCCGTTTTCTCCCGCAGCTATCGAGACCACCCTCTGGTCAATGGAGTGGGTCATCGCCGAGCTCGTCAACAACAGGGATATCCAAGACAAAGTTCGCGAGGAGCTCGACAGGGTCTTGGGGCCGGGAGTTCCGATCACGGAGCCCGACATTCCAAAGTTCACGTATCTCACCGCCGTGATCAAGGAGACGTTCCGCTACCACATGGCGATCCCTCTGCTGGTGCCACACATGAACCTCCGGCCCGCCAAGCTGGCCGGCTACGACATCCCGGCGGAGAGCAAGATCTTGGTGAACGCGTGGTGGCTGGGGAACAATCCGGAGCTGTGGGACAAGCCCGACGTGTTCGATCCAAGCAGGTTTCTGGACGGCAAGATCGAGGCCAGCGGCAATGACTTTAGATTCCTGCCATTTGGGGTGGGGCGGAGGAGCTGCCCAGGGATCATCATCGCCATGCCGCTGCTCCACTTGGTGATTGGAAGCCTCGTTGCCAAGTTTGAGCTCTTGCCACCACCGGGATGCGACAAGATTGACGTGAGCGAGAAGGGTGGACAGTTCAGCTTGCATATTGCCAAGCACTCGACGGTGGTGATGAAGCCGCGCGTCCTATGAAGGCCATATTTTGTATTTAACACTGTAAGGTGGAACTTGTGTTGAAAAGGATTGATGCACGCTTTTTCGTGTTGGGTGGCCACGAGGAACACGTATCCTGTGTTCCTGTGGGACAAGACAATGTCAATCTTATACCGTCAGCAGGATGGTTTGCTTTATGCCATTCAATGACAATGGCAGCTATTTCTTATGGAAAACCACGCCAGTGGCAAGGCTAGAATAACATGGAAACGCAAGCACCTCGTACACTGGGAACTTTTCTAGAGTTTTATAGCAGCACGATCACTGTTTGGCAGAAGAACATGCTTTTTAGATATTTAAGGAGGAGTAGAATTGAGTCGAAGCTAGGCCGACTAGAAAATTTTCCAAGAGAGTAAGAACTCGGAGATTCTTTGAAAGATTTTGGTATGTTGCTTTAGTAGTTTGCTCACAGTTGCGTCAATGCTCTGGAGTGGTGTGCAATGGCGTAAAGGTTTCAGATGCAGAATGACTGCAATCTAGCAGAGGGGTAAACCAAACTTCCTAAGAAAATCTGCTTCGTTTGGAAAGACGTTGAGCAATACTAAGCTTATGAGAGCCCTCCGAAGATTTCAAATTTGCTTGTTGATCCGTGAATAGTGAACCGCTCGGTTTGACTGTTTTTCTTTTTTTTAAAATGCCCAAGGTGGCATAATACCCAAGGTAGTTTGGAGTTTCTATAGGAATTTGTCTGCCAGGACTGCCAGTCCAGTTCAGCGAAATAAGGCGCAGAGAAAAAGCTGAGTACTCTGTCGAAATGAAGGTGTATTGTCCACGTTTTCCTGAAGCTTCTCGTTCCATTATCTTGGTCGGTGAATCAAACTGAACTACTGTATGCCTGGAATCCTGGGAAGGCGCTTGAATCAAAAGTTTTTTCTCACTGTCTTTTTTGGTGCTGTCACTTTAGAGAATCCCTTTTCATCTGATAAGCTTTATTTTCTTTCTTCCTTGTTTTTATAGTTATCAAAGAAGCTTTGGCAATTATTATTACGTGTTAATAGGGTCATTAGCGCCCAGCTGGAGAGGCAAGAAGTTTCAATGATAAATCAGCCCTACCTTCACTAGTAAAGTAAATTTTCTTTTTCTAGATTTGCACACGTTGGTTGCTTTGTCATAGATCACTTGAAGAAATTATTGATACTAAGTTAAAATAATTCATACCAATAATATAGCTAAACTATGGTTAAAATGGGCATTGACCCAAGAGAATCTATCATTGAAATCCTTTGTATCTAGCCCAAAGAAAAGAAAAAGACACAACAGCATGAATCTTACCTGCTGATTCCCTAGATTGGATTAAGATTCTTATCATGGGATGTGCTTACAAGATTTGTTAAAAAAAAATCCTTTCTTGTACATCTTGCTGAGATGACTGCTTGTAGGAGTAGTGCTGCTTTCCTGCCATCACTCCTAGCAAACAAGAGACTCCCAGCAGAGAAAGTGCAAGCATGGCCAAAAGCAAAGTCACACTAGGATATGAGGTTCAATTGCTGTGTATACTTTGAGATTTTTTGCTTCCTCCAGCAGCAAGAATGCCCAAGGAGAGATGGACATGCTTGGTGGAGCCATCCTCAATCTAGGGAGGCAGTTGAGGATGAAATCGTGGAGATCCATATTTGCTACTCACAGTGCAATCTGGCTAGATGAAAGTTAGAAGTTTAAACACAATTTGTAGTAATAGTATTAATTTTAAACCTTGATTAGAGAAAATTTTAAATAAGAAATCATGCTTAGCCTATTTAAATTTGTGATGTTTCAAATTAACAGTCAAGATAAATACATCTCTAAGAAACCCTAACAAAATTAGTACTGATGATCACTTAGACAGCTCTAGTAGACTAGCATGCTATATATAGTAATTTTTTAAGTATTTTATCTCTAAGATTTTCTATTTTTTGTACACGTGTATGGCCAATGCTCTCCCAGGCCCAGAACCAGGGCCCAGGGCACTGCCAGGTAAACCTAGACAGATCCCATGCCCCCACATAAAATATGGGAGGACCCAGAAGTTTCCTAGGTATCCCTCACATGTAACACTGCTCTTAATGCTGGCATGATAATTTTGGTATCTATGCTAAGAGGGTTGTGTAACAAGAAATGCACACAGTGTTTCTTTTATGGGCAATTCCATTATCACAAGTGATTGCTTCATCACCATTTCTAAACAATTTCAAAATGGAAATCATTGCTAGAATGTTCTATAATGAAAGATATATAGTTTTTATTTTACTTCTTACTAATATCTACTTGGCCAAGCTTTTAAGATGTATAGATTTAATTGAAGAAGTTAAATTTTTTATTGTAATTGAAATCAATCTTCCAGCCTTGGTACATAGATAATACTAAAAGTGTATCTATTAGGAATGATTAAATATCATAAGCTTCATAGACCATAGATTCATATTTGGCATTGTTTATGTGACAAGAAGGAACTCTATAGTTGAGTGATAATAGTTGGTGATAACTTATGGTAACCAAAATCTATTCTAAAGGATGCACATGAAGCTTTAGTAATCAAATGTATACTCATTTGGATTATTGTTTTCATCTTTATATATGCAATAGGATTAATTGCATAATCTCATTGGATAGTACTCATTGAAATATATCCTTTTTTACTAAATGTAATGCATATAATTACCCTATACTATAAGATAACGATGGAGCAGAACTTAACCTTTGAACACATATGCCAAGGGCAATAGAGTGAAATTTGAGTTTCATAGCCTTAGGTTATTGAACAAAGGGACAAAACTAAATTTTTGAATATATAGCCAAAGAGTGAAAGAACTAGACCATAAAACAACTTTTGAACATACAACTAAAGAGCAAAAGAATAGGAGTATAAAGTGACAATGAAATAGTCCTAAAACATTTAGTATTCCAATGCTAAGACCAATATACAAAACAATGCTAAATGGAATTTAGCACTATTTCAGTATACCAATAGATACTCCACTATCTAACATGGTATGGAGCTTGACAAACAGGATATAAAATAAAGACAATATTAGCAAGGAGTCAAACAATAAAACCTAACCACTATCTATGCATTTGGACACCCCCCCTTAAGAGTTTGATGCTGGAGTTCAAATGCCATTTATTTTCTCTAAGTAATTTATAATCACAAACCAAAAATGGCATAATAATTATGACTATTGAGCCAAATGCCAATTAAGGATTCCTATCAAAGATTAATAGTAGAGGTTTTTATAATCACTATAATTTGCTGTGTGTTGGTTTGTTTAATAGTAATGTTATTTCTATTTATTAATCTAATTAATCAAATGGAAGTTTATAATTATAATTTATAAATACAAGATTAAGTGATTATCTGGGGAGAATCTTTAAAGAAATTATAAACTTTGAAAGAGTCTATAATTGTAAGTAACACCCTATTAAAGATGTCATAATTTTGGTTCCTACTATGAAAAGATAGTACATAAAGTAAACTCTAAAATATTTACCTCGATAAAATATATCTTTGTATTATTTGGATAGATAATCTAGAGTGAAAGTGAATCTAAATTTCAAGAGATAAAAATAAGTCTGGGTAGCAAAAACAATACAAAATATACATTCTTTATAATGAATTGTATTTAAGGAAAAGTGATTTTAAAAAAGTCCAAAAAGAAATGTCAATACAAGTTTGCAAAACAAGGAAGCATTAGATATCATAATAGAAGTTCAGTATTGCCACCCAAGAATGGTGGAAATCTTAGAAGGATTAATGATCATGAAAAAATGATAATTACATCTTATTTAAAATAACATTTCTCCAACTTTGCAAAAATGCCTTATTGTTAAAGGTGCTGAAAAAAAAGACACATATAATGATTATGCTCTTCTTGAATCTCATAGAAGATATGTCATCATAATAAATGAGACAAAAACAAAATCATGAAAAACATAATTTGCTATATGTGGGAAAATATTAAAGGCAATTATCAAAGCAAAAGGCATCACTATGTATTCAAAGTGGCCATAACAAGTACAAAATATTATTTTTCACTCATCAATTTCCCAAATACTAATAAAGTTGTATGTAAGCTCTTGAGTTTAGACTTCCTAAGAGGTCATTTAGCCCAGTACTATTCAAACCTAAGGACACTTAACCCCAAATATCCCAAGACCTTTAACCGATTGGAAAACGGGGTGCACTCTTGTTCATGGGCCCTTTCCCTCTATATTTGAATGGATCGCCTTTCGAGTCGTTCTCTTTAGTTGCTTACAATCCATTACGTTTCCCCGTAAATTCACACTCTCGTGAATGAAAGCTGAAAGTCGCAGCTCTCCCGAGAGCCCCGCTCTCTTGACACCCTACCCCTTGGGTCGAGCCTAGCGGGAGCAAACTAAACTAGCCAGATGTTAATCAACATGTGGTGTGATTCCCTTAGACTCAAGACCGCTCTAATACCAAATGTAAGCTCCTAAGTTTGGACTTCCTGGGAGGTCACCCAGCCCAGTACTATTCAAACCCAAAAACACTTAACCCAAATATCCCAAGACCATTAACCGATTGGAAAAAAGGGTGCACTCTTGTTCATGGGCCCTTTCCCTTTATATTTGAACCCTTATGGATCGCCTTTCGAGTCGTTCTCTTTGGTTGCTTACATTGTAATCATCACATAAGTCAATTTAATATGAAACACAAATCCCTAAGCCCTAAAGTAGAGCCGAGAGGGTGCCACATGGTAGTGGCCAAAGTAGAAGGCAAACAGCGTAACACATTTGGATTAAGCCTTCGACTCAAAAATTGAGTGT